TATTTTATTTAATTGTTATGATTATAACTCTATGAACTAAATATTGTTATCCTGATGTTTAGATAAGGAAGTTGAGAGAGTTTAAAAAACTTGCCAAAAATTTTACAGCTAATGATTGGTAGTTGAGATTCAAAGCTAGATATTTTTAATTCCAAAATCTCTTTTCCTTCACCATCATAAACAAGTAGGGTCTCAAAGGAAATTTGCTATATTCATGAGTAAAATAATAAATGAGTACAAATGAATAAAGGAATATAATAAATGAGTAAAATGAATAAAGAAATATATATATATTCCTGTTCTGTAGAACCTTCTAATTTTTCAGATTAATATCAGTTGCTCCTATTTATTTATTAATTCAAATTTGATAAACATAGCTTAGTTTCATTTTATATAAGCACAAGTATTCTCATTTAGCAAAACGGAAAAATGGGTCTCAAAGTTCTCACAACTATGAACTAGAATTTATACCCAGATTGTATTTCTCTATGGTTGATATTCTTTCTGTTACATACACTGCCTTTCTGTAGAAGTCATGTCTACATTGTTTTGATGATAATAAATATTAAAAAATGTATTATAATTTTACTTAATATTATAATGACATATTAAGTACTAAAGCTTTGGTAGCAAATGTTCAAAGCTAAGGTATGAGCTCATTTAACCATCACAACAGCTGGACGAATGGAGGCTGTTGCTCATTTTATAGATGAGGAAACAGATTTAGAGATATTAAGGAATTTGGCGAAGTCATACAGATGATAAATGGTAGACCTAAAAGAGGAACAGATTACTACTTCCTTTTAAATTCTGCCCTAAAATACTAATGGATGGCACCCTCTTTCATCTGTCACCATATGAGGCAATATTTTTGTTTACTTGGTTTTTTTATCTATCTTCCCCAATAGAATATAAAAACTGTGATAGAAGGATTTACTCTTTCTCGAAATCCTAGATCTTGGGACAGTACCTGCTACATCATAACTTGATTTTTTTTAGATGAATAAATACATGAATCTTTCCTAAAAACCACAGATATTCTCCTTTGTGATTTAAATCTCAAGTGTCTAAGGGCTCCTGGGTGGCTCAGGTGGTTAAGTGTCCAACTCTTGATTTTGGCTCAGGTCATGATCTCAGGGTTATGAGAAAGAACTGCTTGATGTTAGCTATAATTATTATTCTCCTACCTACTGTTGTATTTTCCATAGGAATGTTATAACACAAATATACATCAATCATTTTACAGTATCGTCTCCAATCCTTCCAGCTTTATCAGTGAAAGAAAGGATGCAGCCAAAAGCAAAGTGGGTCTTGGGGCAATTATGATGCTTACTTTCATGAGCCTTCTTGGTGAGAATTGAAAACAAAGAAAAAGCTTCTAAGTTACTGGGATAGTGATTTGTGAAGTACTTGTGTTTACTAAGACAATCTTACTCATATTTTGCAGACATTTTAAAAATAATTCTCTGTTTTGAGGCTTTCAACCTATAGCTAATAAAGGAGACTGTTTTTAAAGACTCCATGTTCTAGGAGCTGAGTCAGAGAACTTGCATTGGGCTGTTTTATTTAATCTTTGCAAACCATTGTGAGGAAGCATATTAGTTTTTTATTGCTGTATCTAATTACCACAAATTTAATGGCTTAAAACAATACAAATTTATTTTCTTACAGCTGTGGACATCAGAAGTCCTGAATTGGTTTATAAACTGGAATAAAATCAAGGTGTAGCAGGCCTGGACCTTGTAGAGAGAATCTATTTCATTTCTAGAGGTAGACTCTATTTTCTGGCTTGTGGTCCCTTTCTCCATCTTCAAAGCACATCACTCCAGATCTGCTCCCAACTTTTTTATCTTACTTACTCCCACTTATAAGGATTCTTAGATTACATTGGGCCCATCTGGATGATCCAGGATAATCACATCTCAAGATCCTTAATTTAGTACCATTCACACATTCCCTTTTAACATGTATAGTAACTTATTCACAGATGCTGGGGATGGGACTTAACATCTTTGGGGGCAGGGAGTTTCAGCCTACCAGAGGTAGATACCATTATGCTTATTTTGCAAATAAGAAAAAAAAAGGAGTGATTATGAACTCTTAATACGCTGAGAAAGAAAATTCAAAAAAGCTAACTCAAACTCACCAAACTTAAAAGTGATCACCAACATACTAATGTAGGTCCTTCTGATCCTAATGCTGTTTCCACTACACAATTCTGTCCCTGAACTAGGAAAAAAGACAAAGGATGGGTTTCCTCCTAACGTGTAGATATTTTTCATTTTCTTTTTGAGTTAAAATATTTACTAAATGTTTATTGAATGGCTATTATACCAATTTTCGGTGCTAGGAAGAAATATGAATCAGACTGAGTCAGTAGCTAGATAATCACAAATTTTCCCATATATTTAAATACCTATAACTCCAGTCTATCTTGAGAGTCCCAACCAAATTCAACTACCTAACTGGAAGTTTCACTGCCACGTTCAATAAACCTTTGCAATTTGCCATGTCTGGAACCGAACTCTTGAATTTTTTTCTACAACTATGTTCAATCCCTCAGTCTTCACCAGCTCAGGAAACAGCACCACCATACTCCCCCACAACGGATCAGTATTCAGATGCCTATATTTATTTTAAAAATATATCCTAATCCTATTTACTTCTCCTTATTTTCATTACCCCCGGACTTCTGACTGGTAGCTTCATTTCCATTCTCGGATTGCCTTGATCTCATCTCTATACATAAACCGGCATGATCTCCTTAGAACATAAAATGCTTCAATACCTACTGTGTACTTATAGTAAAATCCAAACTTTTCATGCCACACAGGGTTACCACACATCTGGTTCTGTTTAGGACACCAGTGTGCCTGCTGTCTTGGTGGAACTAGTGGTAGCGCCTTCTTTCACTCCTAAAATTGTCCCAGTTGGATGATAAATTACACAGTCACCATATCCATCGGGGTCTTGTGGAATCTTTCCTCTGCCTCAATTTCCTCCCATAAGCGAACTCTTCTCTCCTAGGACTCAACAGGGTCTGCCTTAAGTCTCTCCTGTAATTATTTTTCTTCAAAATATGAACAAAAGAATTAATTATCATCCTATATTTGTTTTATCTGTTGACTGTTCATGCCATTAAAGACAACCAGGCCCACGCCCATGTTATTTGCCCCTAATCACTTTAGGCAGCATAATACCTGACACATGGGAGGTGTCTACAGACATTTATTAAAAGGTTAGTGACTAAATAAACTTGCCATATAGTCAGATAGTTATATAAACACGTAGTATAACATTTACATAATAAAAATGTGTTCAAGATACCAATGACCAAAACCAATACAGAAGCAGAAGAAGTTGCTTCTGTTTGGAGAAAAAGGTTGAGTAGGGAAGGTACTGTAAGGGGAGGAAGCCCAATCAGTGTTGATGGATGGAAAAGATCATGTTATGTGATCAAGAAGCTATGAGGAAAGATTTCTAAGTAGAAAGCTGGCATTCACAAAGGCAAAATGGTTTAAAACAGTGTGATAATTCTGGGAACTCAAAGTAGTTTCTATTACTAGGGTGTACAGCCTTGCATAAATGATATATTAATGTCACGAATCCCTAAGGACAAAACCTAAATTATGAAGAACCCTGCAGGAAACATATAGAACAGCAAAGAAATTTGAAACTTAGTTTTGTTTAAATCTATAGTGCTAGGATGATTTGAAAACTCCTATTGCCTGTTTAGCTCACCTTATAATTCATAGAAGTTTAGATATGTAAATCAGTTTTTGAAGAGTTGTATTTCAAACTTCATTACCATAAAAAATCCTCTAAGTTGTGAGTTCGTTATATAATTGTCAAAAAATTATAAAAGTGGTCCATAAGGAAACTATAATGAGATTTATGGTATATAAAACTAAACTGGGCCTTTCCCTCAGATAATTTTTTTGGGTTAACATTTCTACTTTGGGAAATGAATTTTCATTCATTCTTAGACTGTAAAAAGAAATAGCCTGGAATTACTAAATTAACATTTGGCATTTATATTATACAAATGCAAAGATGAACACATCTGTAGAATTAACCAAACATTAGATCAAATTTTGATGTAAATAAAAGTTGAAATAGAGAATTAAAACTCGTCTCAGATCTATTTACCTAGGAGAAAATGTTCAAGAAATATTCTTGGTATAGATAATCATAGATGGGTTCTTTGAATATAAAAAATGTACACCAGAAATTTCACACTGGTGGACAGCAGGACATAAACGCTTTGTTTGGCTTCCAGAACAATTCAAAAGTTTGAGCCAAGATTTAAATTTGGAGAAGTCACATAAAAAAAAAAATCCAGAATTCTGGCCCCTCTGAAAAACTGGAAGAGCTCATAACTCTGGTGGGAAAAAACCAGTCCTACAGAGGGCAGTAGGTGTCCTCTAACCCACCACACAGCCACGTCCCCATCACCCCAGGTGCTGAAATCCATGCCACTTCCCTTATGTATGTTACATGACATGCCTTGTACCAAAAAACCCCAACCATTAAGACTAATTGAGAATTATCAAATTGTCTAGGAAAATATTTAGAACTTGATCATCTGTAATACTGAGAACTGAATGTACATACCATCTTAATAAAATCCTCTAAAAATGGAACAATTCAGAATTCAATCTTGGCTTTCTTGGATTTTGTTTGTTATTTAAATTATATAAAAAAATAAAAAGCCAATCAAATTTGGTATATCTTTTTTTTTCCTCCTGACCAGTAAGCTATTTGTTTTGGCATCTGGTCCATATAACACAATTAGCAGTAAAATAATCCAAAGATGTTTAACATGTGTTTAATCTGTGCTTTGAATGCAAATACTTTCAAATATCTTCCAATATAGCAAAAGTAATTTATTTTATTTAAGTATATTAAAAGACTAGACATGTTTTCAATATCCATACTACTCTAGAATAGGAGAAAGAAAGCCAGGAGAGTTATTTCCATGGGAAGTGATGGGCACTTACCTTAGCTATCTGGACACACCAGTTAAGCAGCAGCTGGGATCCAATGTTATCCTTGTGTTCATGGACATAATCCAACAGGCAGCCATGGGGCATAAGCTGTGTAACCAGCTGAATGGTTGGGCTCAGACACACACCCAATAACCGGACTAAGTGTGGATGGTCCATACTTGCCATGATCAAAGCTTCCTATAAAAAATTAATAAATAACACCATCATTTCAACTCAAATTTCTTTATAGCACAATAGTAATGGTGCTGATCATAATTTTGAAAATGTGCTCTCATTCAACAGAATCAATTAAAAATGAAAAGACATTAATGCAGCTATTATATTCTTAAAGTTATTTAACTCAAGTAAAATAAGTGAAAAAGACTACACTTTTGTTAAAATGGAAAATGTTATAGAATTAAATGCATATAAAATTAATATTGGTGTTTTCTCTTTTGTAATATGGTCAATATTTGATTTTATTTACTGCTAAGTTAGTTGATATTGAATCCTAGCTTATACTGTGGATTTTTAACTTTTGATCTTTAGTTCTAGAATACAATAATCTATACAAATGCAGTTATTTTCACATAGTATAAGGTGACCCAAAGTTAAGTCATCCATTATTAGTGTGGATTTAGAGAGCATACACAGGTGTAATTTATAAATTACAAATATCAAAATTTAAACAATTATAAGCAATATGCCATTGTGGATTTATGTAGAAAAATAAACCTTTTAATAAAACATTTTGCTCCATGACTTTGTCTTTACTCAAATTTATTTCATTTCCAAAATTATAAGTGATGTATTATTCATAGAATTATAAAATTTGAAAGCTAAGGGAGACTATAAAAATTTGTCTACTCCAACTTTATCATTTTATAAAATGAGAAAACAGCTCTAATTTCTTTATAATAATCATGTCACTTTGGTTTAATGAAGATAAAATTGGACATATGATAGTTATTTAGTACATCTTAAAGTTAGCCTCCAATTAAAAGTTATTTTAAGTATCTTTACTGCAATTTGAAACAGATAGGACCTTACACACACACACACACACACACACACACACACACATGGGGTGGCACATATATGGCAATTTATTATCAATCAGTTTACACTGAAGCCATGAGAATATTTATTGTAGCATTCTTGAATGTTTTCTATAACTTTGAAATTTTTCAAAACAAAAAACTGTGCACAGAAAGCTATGTTGACCTTTTGTTTAAGATGGCATGGCAGATTGAATACACAAATTTACTTCCATTTCCTCTCAATTCCACTATACTAAGCAATAAAGTAATTAATCAAGAGGCTGACACCAACAGTCATAGAGAGGAGGCAATAAAGATAGAATAATAAGAGTAGGAATGGGCTTACTAGTTGTAACTAATTTTGTATATGTATGACATCTGAAGCCTAATGTAGCAGGTAGGGAAACAGAAGAAATCCAATTTATACCACCTGTGTACACCACCAAAGGCTCAAGTAGTGTTAGCACCACAAATTTCTGCAATGGAGCAGGAGGGAGAAACTTAACGTGAGCAGGATTGTTTCAAAGTGTATTTAGGAGGCACCTAAAACTACAGATATCCTCCCCTCCATCAAAAGGATTGTGGACTATGGATATTAGGCAAAATGGAAAGAGAAGTACTCTGGGGATAACAGTAGGGTTATGTAAATTTATATACAGAGAAAATTGGGGCCACCTTCCAGTTCCTTCTCCCAAATGGAGCTGTGACTTCAAAATTCTGAAGCTTAAATTGTTTAAACCTCAAATTCCAAATCCAGCAAAATTTCAGTAAAGTGAGTGGATATACAGACATGTTCAGGCATGTCTGTTCTTAAACAACTTATCTCAGGGGGTGCCTGGGTGGCTCATTCAGTTGAGTGTTGGACTACAGGTCTCGGCTCAGCTCATGGTCACAGGGTCATAACATAAAGCCTGGCATTGGGCTCTGTGCTCAGCAGGGAGTCTGCTTGAGATTCTTTCCCTCTGCCCTCCCCCATTCATGCTCTCCCTCTCTCTCTCTCTCAAATAAATAAATCTTAAAAAAAAACACACACTTATGTCACATACTTCCTTTCTCTGTTAGTTGTGTTCATTAAATAAGAGGGGGCAGTTAAAAGAGTACATTTAATTGAAGAAACAAAAAATGACAGTGAAGGGATATTCCAGAATAAAAGCAGTTACAAGGGACCAAGATAGCAGTCAGTCCAGAATGGAGTGGGACATATTGATCTGGAAAAGGTAATCCAAGAAGATGGAGACGATAGAATACCTAATGAGCTTAAAATACATTAAGGGTATGTATATTTAGCAGAAGCTGAAGGTCAAATTAGGATTGATGCACAGAAACCTAAGCAAAAGTAAAATGAAGAAATTGATTTGATGTAAAGTACAAGACATACACAAGTAAGAAAATCATGTATTTACTATAGAGCATGGCTGGGAATAGTTACATAAGCATAAGGACATAAGTACGAAATGTTGATATAAGCAAACATCATATGATTCTCCTGGAAAATGAAGGGAAGTAGACTATAATTCTGCAAGGGGGTAATGGGAAGAAAGTGAAAGGTACATTCCTGTTGTTCATAGTGACAAGTTAGTGTATGATGCATAAAATGGAAAAATCAAGAGTTGACAGTGTAAGCATAATATTTAGATACAGGGTTAAGTGAAAAAAATAAATTGCTGAGAAATTGAAAGTGATTAGTTTGGGCAGTGGAAAACAGGCAGGAAAGGGAATGGAGAGTCACTCTAGACTTCTGTCTTTTACTATTTGCCTTGCAGAAGTATTTGACTTTTATTATTACCTTAGAGCTATTTGAGAAGACATTATTAATTTTTAATCTCCACTACTATTTTAGTGGTGTTGATTTCAGCTGAGTCTAAAAGATTATTGACAATTATGGTACATGTCTGATGGAGTATATGGATTTACTGGATCCAGTCAGGGTCTTAGGTGAGGTATAAACTTTTACTTTTTTGAGTAAGGAAGGGTGGGGCAGAATGGGCAAGTGTCTTTGAGAAAGAAGAGATATAAGGCCAAACAGAAACAATAAGCTGGTAAAATGGCATCGGCCCAATTCAAAAGATTGTTTTTGAGCCTTTGTGGGCAGAAGCTAAAATTGTTGTTTTCCAGATGGCTTCCAAGTAGATGCTGCAATTCCCCCCTCCTCAGCGGCCCCAGGGAGCCAGAGTCATAGAACAGGGGAGAACACCAGTTTCTTTGCTTCCTTGCTGAGCCAACCACAGCAACACCTGAGGACTAGCAGCCCGGGGAGCGCTGAGGGGCATCACCTCTGGCAAGGATACTGGCATCCTTAGGTAGTACCAGTCAACAGTGGTACCAGCCAATGGTGCCAGGGGGAGAAGAGAAGCTCCATATGGGGGCCAGGCTGGTAAGGAAGAACACTGCAAATATCACAGGAAGACTGGAACTGGGACATTGGTTTACAGGTACATATGAGGCACCCACTAAGTGCCCATCTTTAGGGGTTGGAGTTTCTGCCTAATCAGCAAAGCCAGAAATTTGAGTTATTACTATGAATATGGCCCCATTTGGATCCAAAAGGTAGAAACATTTTGGTTTTACTTGCTGTATATTTTAGCAAACATTTGAAATAAAGCAAATCAATGTAGTTATAAGGAGAGTACAGATAAGAATGTGAGCCAAATAATATTGTATTGTTATTAATTAATTAATTATTAACATTAATATTGAAAGTATAAACCAGATGGCTCCTTCACTGAATTATGATATGAACACATATATACATATATACAGCAACAAATAAGCAAAACATGTAATTAAATTAAATATCTAATTTAATAAAGTACCACATTAGATATTATCTAATTAAGTTAAATTTATACTGATTGCATTTTCTCTATTTCTCTTCTGGTGGCTCTCAGTCTCTTATGAGCATAAGAGTCACCTAGGTTTGGCATTACGAGTAGCTATCCTGGCCCCACTCCCAGATAATCAGGGCTAGAAGTAGATCAGGAATCTGCATTTGTAGCAAGCTCTCCAGATGAAGCTACTATAGGAAATATGAAATATGAAAATTAAGGACCTCTGGAACATTGCCATAAAATGTATCTATAATCTCATTGCAAAAATCGTAATTTGCGGTTGTGGTTTGATCCCCATTATAACACTAGATGCTTCTATACTACATCAAAAGATGTAGTAATTCTCAGGTGTAAAAGGATAAAGCCAAAAGCTGGGTGGGCTTATTGCCCAGGTTATATTTGATAAGTACTAGATCAGGTTTAAGATTCAGGATTTCTGATTCTTAGTGCAGTTGCTACTTCTTATGATACTGAACTTCATAAATTTCAGTTCCATCAGCACCTGACACTGTAGCACTGTTAACTTGTTAACAAGAAGACAGCTCCAAACACCTGATATTAGTTGTATCTGAAGAATTGGGTCAAATTATACTTTATTTCCTAAGGAGCAACTAAAATCAAACAACAAATTTGCACTAACAGGTAAACTGCCATCACTTACAATATGCTTTCAGAAAAAGCCAAAGAAAACATATTTCTCTGATTTCCTGAGAGTATTTGGTACAGACCATTTCTTGAGAAAGAAAATGATGAAATTTAAAGTAAAAGAAAGATGTGGAGGTTATTTCAGGCTTCTTTTTCAGTATGAAATATATAAACATTTTTTTTTCTTTTACAACTCAAGGAGTAATGATAATTCCATTCTAAATATGCATGTGAAAAGTTTACATCAGAAGAGCATAAAAAAGTCACATGAAAGTTCTCTTTAAAAAAATCTATTAGTAAGTCCTGGCAAAAAAGCTGGGGTTGTATTAAGGAAAATTGCTCATCACACTACAAAGAGTATTTGAAACCAAATTGCAGAGTATTTGCATAATAGTTCTCTTTTTTTTTGAGAAAGAAAAGATGAGCAAGACACTAATTGTAGGTTTTATTTTTTTTCATAAAGGAAATAGCAGATGGCTTTTTTGGGGGATAGGGAAAGAGATAAAGAAAAGAGAACGTGGATTCATTTAGAGCGATGAGTGGGATGGAAAGGGAAAGAAATTCCAATATTTTAATAATGGAGTGTTGGATTTCAATAAATTGCTCTGTGTTGAAGTTAATAATGTCCCTTGTTACCTATCTCCGTGTGGGGCCTGTGGAAGCAATTTTGGAATCTTTGTTGCTG